GCCCAGACAGCTAGGTTAGGTTTGCATACCTCAATTTTATGCTGCTGAAATTATACAAAATGGATCCTACCCTTCCTATGCCCCTGTCCTGTCCCTCAGCGTTTATGCAGAACAGAGTTAAAAATCTGGGGTACAAGTTCACAGATGAAACCCCCGGGACGAGACCCTAGATATTGCCCAAAGCAATCACATGGGAGGAATCCTTATCAACCCTCTACAACTGCCTGAGAGGAGGGGGGAGCCGGGGGGGTCGGGCTCTGCTCCCAGGGAAGGGGCGATGGGACGAGGGGCACCGGCCTCAAGTTGTGCGAGGGCAGGGTGAGGTTGGCCATGGGGAACAATTCCTTCCCCTTGGGGCTGTCAGGGGCTGGAAGGGGCTGCCCAGGGAAGGGGTTGAGTCCCCACCCCTGGGGGGATTTAACAGCCGGGCAGAAGCGGTGCTGAGGGCCAGGGTTTGGTGGTGGGAGGGCAGGGGTAGGGGAACAGTTGGACTTGATCTTAAAGGGCTTTCCCAACCTCAACGATTCTATGATTCTATGAAAGCAAAACCCCACAGCAGAACTGATTTTTATTTCTCCCATCTCAGCAAACTGCCTGTGAAGAGATGGGGAAGCTCCGTGGAGGCTTCCAGTAGCCTCCAATGGATGTATTCGGACCTTCTGAAACTCTAGGCAGGGGCTAAACCATTGACGGGGATGTAATGGATGCTCTGGTTTCAACGAGGGGTGATGCAGGAAAGCTCCTCCAGAGGAATATAGGAAAATTACTGTGTTTGGATTGGTGTTCATCTCTCTGCTCTTTCATTTGATTTTCTTAGTGTGGGAGTCATCACTCAACTTTAACAATTAAAAGTTACTTGTTGAAGCCTAACTTCTGGGATACTCCTGTAACCCATGTAGAGGAATAATCATTCAAATCCTCAAAAGTATCTAGAGCACAAACATCTATATTTAGGCTGCCACAGACATTGCTTATCTGAGTTCAGGAGAGGACTGCGTATCTCTTCTGATCCAGCTGTGCTTTCGGAGACTAGTCATGTGTCTAATATTAATCAACTCTCTAGCATTAATCAATATCTCAGATGACTACAGACTGTAAATCAGTAAAAATACGTCTTAGTGGTCCAACAAGGAAGACTGCCAACAGTGTAAACTATCTTTAGATCAAATAAGGAGAACACGGACTGGAATTCACCTTGCACGTATTGGTATCGTTTTGCAAGGGCCAGCAAAAATTTGAAATTGTGATTACCCTCCCTTCAAGTCAGCTCCTTCTAGTGCTCATGTAAAGGCTGATCCCTTCACGAGGCCAGCAATCCTCTGCGGCCTCTCGCTCTGTGTGACCCCACCGCTTGGAGGATCTGTGGCCAGAGAGAAAAATGTCATCTGTGTAAAAACACCACGAAAAGAAAGCTCCAACTTACTGTCAAAATAAATGATACCATTACCTAGAGAAGACTATGAATCCTCTGCTTAGGTTCTAGAGGGTTTTTTCATTATTGTTTTGGGGTTTTTTTTCCCCTAACGAGCTCTGTGTTCATGAACCAAAGACCTCAGCAGGCTTCAACCGTTGCATCACTCAGTGGGGCCCCCCTGGGACACCCACAGCACTTAAAGGGAGGTGGATTGCGAAGCCCTTGCCATTCCCCTGCTGACTGCATGGGCCGTCTCACCCGTAGTCAGTGCTAGATGGGGGGAACGTGCCAACAGCTTGCTTGATCCTGTAGGCAGGGCTTCTCTAAGTGCCACTGGGTGACCACCTTTCTAGCAGCATTTGTTCCCGAGGAAAAGAAGGCATCATTTTTTAATATTCATTTCCAAGGTAGGAAACGTACCCATAGCCTGAAATACTGCAAAATCTGACAGACTGTGAATTGTGTCACTGCTTTGTTCTCTAACCTTACTCTGTACTTTAAATCTTGCACACAGAATGCTCATAATTGCAGCCTGTGCTTACCTCCGGTAAAAAAAAATTTAATTAATTTTCATCTAAGGAATGCTGAAAGTAAAGTCTACAAAAAAAAATAATGCAGTCATGGAGAGGACAGTTGTTTTGACCTGAGCTGGATTTGTTTTCTTATTTCAAAAAATAGGAGGGCAAATACTTGTGAATGTCCATGTGGCTTCTTTTCCAAAGATGTGGAGACTTTTGGACTCTTGATCCTGGAAGTTTGTACTTAGAGTGAGAAGCGACATTCAGGTCAGTGCTTCACAAGAGAGGTCTCTGCCCTCAGCTGGGGCAGATCTACAATAGCTGTGATTCGGCCATTCTCTGTGGTTACAGCAGATGCAGAATTGGTTTAAGTCTTAATCCGAAACCACCAAAATCCACAGAAGTTCTAATACTGGCTTGATGAGCACTGAAACATGGGGTTATGGGAAAAGAATCATTTAAAAGCATCAACTTGTCCTACAGACTATGGCGTTGGTCGCTCCAAATAGTCCAACTGACTTATTGAATTTCCTATAGCACAGAAAATTGTTAACCAAGCAAGCTGTTGTGCTCTGCAGGTCACTGCTAATGAGTTGAACTACTGTGACTCAACGTGCACTCTTAATTACTCTCGATACAATGCAAATAGCAACGGCTGAAAAGGTATTTCAGTCATTCAGTCAGCAGCTCCACCTTACAAGCTCAGGCGTTCATTTAATACACCTGCAATTAACAGCTCTCATCTGCAGAACTCTAACCAGAAATGCCAAAACAAGGCCACAATCTGGAAAGACGAGAGGCATTTTTCTTGAAGTCTACGTTTTAAAAGAGGTGAAAAGGTAATGATGGGGTTATAGGATTCTTTCCTGTGTTGCACCCGTAGACAAGCCCTTACTTGATGAGCCTATAAAGTCTGATTTGTCTGGCTAAATATTATCCTCAGCGGAGGCGGAGGTCTACAGTTTATCGAATTGTTGTGTGCTCTTTACAAGCACTGATGAGAAACCAGCACCTCTGAGAGGCAATTCTGTTCACCCCAAAGTAAGCAGACGTTTTAAGTAGCTTACATGAATTTTGCCTTAAAGTGCCCATTTCTATATGTAAATGAAGCCTCAAGTGGCTACCCCAGACGTAGCATCCACCTAGGTAAAGTGTGGCAAGACAGAGTCTGTCTTCAGCGTCAGCTCCTACGTTTCTTTCAATTCATATGCAACTCCTTTCTTAACGTTGGACAAAGCAAGTGTGGTTTTGTCAGGACAGACTGATGGACTTGCCGCCTGCCATTGGCATGAACAGGTTCAGGGACGCAGGGTGAGGCCCCGTGACTACACTGCCCCGTCTCCTCCTTTGACTTGTTATGCTTGGAATCAGCATTTTGGGATTTTTAACATAAACTGCTTTTCTACATCTTGTCATTTGTTTATTTATTTTTTGTTAAATTTGGGGGTGTCTTCCTATGAGGACTTCTCAGAACTGCACTGGCCAACTTCACTGTCATCCTTAGAAGCCGAGAGCAATTTATTACTCCACTATTTGAGAACAACAGAGCAGAGAACCAGAATCATCCTGTTATTCCTCCTAGGCACCATGGACACAGATGAGCAGTTGAGAAAATTTAGCAATAGAACTAAGCAGGAAAGAGTTAGAAAAAGCTCAGAATGGATAACAAGTTTCTGCTCTTCCCTGGAACCATTTCAGCAATGGAACAAAAGTAACCCTCCTTTAAGAGGGTCATTAAAGAAGTGTTAGATGGATAACAGCGAGCGTCTCAAGGGAACCTAGCAGACCCCTAGGTTTCCATTAAAGTAAAGCAGCACCCTATTTTCTTTTACTACATTCCTGCCTGGCGTTTCCAGCATCATATTGACTTATTCTTCTCTCCAGAATCGTAACTTGTGTTCTTTAATTTTTCTCCCTCTTAAAGATTCAGGTTCATTAAGGGAATGGTCAGAAGAAATGAGACAACTGTGGATGAGTTCATTCTCTTGGGAATCACAGATATTTGGGAGCTGCAGGTCATTCTCTTTCTGCTGTTCCTTCTGATCTGCCTCACCTCATTGGTGGGGAATCTTGGCATGATTGCATTAATCAGGCTTGACTCTCGACTCCACACCCCCATGTACTTCTTCCTCTGCCACCTCTCTCTGGTAGACCTAGGTAATTCCTCAGCAGTTGCTCCCAAAATGCTAGTGAGCTTCTTTGAAGAAAGGAAGCCCATCTCTCTGCCAGGCTGTGCAGCCCAAATGTACTTTTGTGGCGTCTGCATAATCACCGAGTGTTACCTGCTGGCTGCCATGGCCTACGACCGGTACGTGGCCATCTGTAACCCTCTGCTCTATGTGGCCACCATGTCTCAAAAGGTTTGTGTCCAACTGGCCGTGGGATCCTACATAGTAGCTACTGTGAATGAAATAATGCTTGTCAGCTCGGTGTTCAGCCTGCACTTCTGTGGCCCTAAGGTCATCAATCACTTCTTCTGTGACATTCCTCCGGTCCTGAAACTTTCCTGCTCCAGTACTGCTGTCAACGAGCACATGCTTTTTACCATCGCTGCATTTATTGCACTCAGCACTTTGGGATTCATTGTTGTCTCTTATGGTTATATCCTTACCGCTGTCCTGAGGATCTGCTCCCCAGAGGGCAGGCACAAAGCTTTCTCCACCTGTGCCTCACATCTGACATCAGTCTCGGTTTTTTATGGGACTATGATCTTCATGTACCTCCGCCCCAGTTCTAGCTACTCCCTGGACCAGGACAAGGTGGTATCCGTTGCCTACACCCTGGTGATTCCCATGCTGAACCCCCTGATCTACAGCCTGAGGAACATGGAGGTGAAGGATGCTCTCAAGAGACTCCTAGGAAAAGTTCGTGTTTATTTTAGAAATCAAACTGGTAAAGAGGTGTCATAAGCCAAACAAAATAAAACTGGACGTTCTTGAATGTTGGTCTCCATTTGCTACTGAGCATTTAAACTGAAAGTGAGAAGATAGCAACCATCAGGGCCCAAGTGCTTGGGCATATCATTGCAACAAGAGATAGCGAGCCACCGCTTGCTCTCTCCTCTGTCAGGGTGTAGCTATACTGTCGGACTTTACCTTTAAACCCACTAATTATACTCAAAGCCTCACATGCACTCCTTTCCCACACACCACCCCCTACTTTAAAGCCTTGGTGTTCCTTGTGCCACTCCATAAGGAGCTGTATTTTTCCAATTGAGAAGCATCCCTCACATGATTTAGTTCTGGCAGATCTTCAAGAGGGGGTGATGGGGCAGAGAGAAGATCTAGGTCCTCAGGGATGTTTGCTAAGAATAAATCTGGGCTAACGTGTTTGAAGCCAGGAATGTTTCCAATTGGCAGTGTGGTCTGGGTTTTCAGGAGCCAGGTTTAATGTTACTAGTGAGCAGTACTGTTTTAAGATCAAACAAACGAATGCTGCGTATGCGCGTTCCCCAGATAAGGTTCAGCAATCAGACAAGGCTTGATGCAATCAATTCTGTGTGTGACATCTTTATAGGACCCCTGGCTGATACAAAAAACCCAGCTATTTTTAAAAGACAAAAAAAAAAAATTTGCAAGTCCCAGCTGTGGATTTAAACAGAAAACATCATCCAAGATGGATCACCACTCACAAATATTTATTCATTAGCAGAACCAATGCCAGGCCACACCGCATCAACCTACAATGAACGTAGCAAAACTAGAACGAATGCGGGGAAGCAATCAGGAGGAGGCAACAGTGGAGAAACTGAGGTATCACGGCTGGTGAGGGAAGAGCAAGGGGACAATGAGAGAAGGGAGGCATTAAAAGGGTCTGGTGGCCTCTAAGCAGGCTGCTGGTCAGTTTGTTTGTCTGGCCAAGCCCTGTGCTGGTCCCATCCTCTTACTAAATTGTACTCGCAATGATGAGCTACATATTTATGCCTACTTCTGCCAACAACTGGGGTTTAGAGCTTAGAAATTCTTTCGGGGAAGAGATGCAACCACATGCCAGGCACAAGCAATGTAATTGTTTCACCACAGGCAGCTAGGACATCACGCTGAATGGAAATCTTCCATCCACGTGGCTGCATGGAGACAGCAGAAAATGCCCACACCTGGTAGAATCACAGAATGGCAAGGGTTGGAAGGAGAGCTCCTGCTCACTTCTACTGCATGCAACAGGTCAGGAAGAGAAATAAAATACCTTTAAGGAGAGGAGGAGCAGAAGGCCAGAGTTTTTCGCCCAAAATAAGAAATATTGTGAAGAAAAAGGAAAGGGGGTTAATATTGAAGATATTCAGGGATATTTCATTCCTGGGTTAGATGGGCTGAGCAGCATTTTCTTTCAGAGTCAATGGAATTTTAGAAGTAGAGGCACATTCCTGTAACATATCTGCATGGGTACTGTCAGGGAGCTGCAAGGGCTGGCTGGTCCCCAAGGGACAGAGAGTGAGGAGCTAAGGAGAACCCTAGGGCAGGCAGCACCTCAGCCCTGGGGGACAGACCTGCAGGGGCTGAACACAACAGGCAGAGCCAGGGACCCGCAACGGGCTCCACCAACAAGCAAGGAGCTCGGTTCAGGGCCCATCCGTGGCGTGCCATCAGGAGGAAAGGGAGATGGGCCAGGAATGGCATTGGAGACAAAGCTGCAGTCTTCATCTGGAGCCCATCCAGGAGGAAGAAACACAGCTGCAGCCAGACACACCTACTGTGTAGTCAAGGAAGGAGCAATGGCCCTGGACTGAGCTTAAATGGGGCTCCTGGGCCATGGGCATGTGTATGTGTGGAGTGGTCCAGGTGAGGCTGGTCAGGGCCATTAAGTCCTGTTAGTGCCCTCAAGGGCAGCTTCCAGGTGGAGTTGGGAAGTAGTAGCAGGAAGGCTGCATTTTGGCTATAAATTAGCAGAATAATATTAGTGAGAGGGTGAATCTCTTTAAGAGGAGTGATTCTTCTGGAGAATTTGAGGAACATGTTAAGACTCCACTGATAAGGACTGTCCTGTGACATTTAACCCCTCCTTTTGCTTTTCAAATTGAAAGAACTAAACACAAACCTCATGTTCTGAATCAGCTGAAATGCCCGCTTTACATGACAGCAAGTTTTCAAGGATCCACAGCTTCCCAAGTAGAGGAAATAGAGTTTCTAACATATGAAGGTGCAATGCACTTAAAGGGTGGCTACAAAGGGAATGGGCTCCTCACAAGGAGCCATATGGAGAAGACAAGGGGCAGCAAGTACAGGTTGCGCCGGGAGAGATTTCATCTCAACATAAAAAAGAAATTTTTTACAGTAAGAACAATCATTCACTGAAACAACCTCCCCAGCGATGTGGTAGGGTCCCCATTGCTGGAGGTTTTCAGGATGCAGTTGGACAGGGTGCTGGATAATCTCATCTACGTGCCCTTTCCCACGGAAGGTTGGACCAGGTGATCTTTCGAGGTCCCTTCCAACCTGGGCTATTCTGTGACGATTGTATGAAGTGCCACCAAAGGAATAAACGCTACTCCGTGCGTGCATGTGTGTGCTTGTGCAGTCCAAGGTGACCAATAACTTGGTGGTAGTCTCGTGCTCAGTGTTTATGTTGGCTCTATGGATTGCGCTGCGTCTAAACATATCGTATCCTCACATATCGTATGTGCGTAAGTATTTGAGAGAGTAAAAAAGACTTTTGGTGGAAAACAGCCCGCTTTGAGGAGCCAATGTATCTTAGCAAAACATCAGTAGCAAAACTCTACTTTCTGCAGTAGGAGTCTTAGGCTTGAAGTTTTGAAAGTCCTTGAAATCTATAACGTCCTTCCAAATTTATGATGCTCCATGGGTGTAAGGACGGTGGTCGTGACAGATATGTGCACCTTTGCAGGTAACTTTGGGCAACCTGACCTAGCAAAAGATGTCCCTGCCCTTGGGGTAGGACGGGTAGACTAGATGATCTTTAAAGATCCCTTCCAACCCAACCCAATCTATGATTCTACAGTTCCAGACTGTGTATATAGAATTTAAAAAAATACAGAGGGAAGGGAGGAGGGGGTGGCACCAAAACACTGAGTGCTAACTTTCTTTGATCCCCAAAGTCCTGGGAATTTTAAAGCCAGGACCAATTCAGGCCCAACCTGAATTGCACAACCGGGTGGTATTTTTAAAGGAGAAAAAATAAATAATTCACAGCCTCTTTCACGTTGCTCATTTTCATATCTGACAGCACCGTACAAAAGGCAGGTAGGAAAATCTGCCCTGGTTGCATTGCAAACAATAAACCCCCACGCATTAATAATATATTTGAATTTTGCTTAAGGGAAAAAACACCCTTTTTTTTTTCTTAAGAAAAGCCTTCCCCACAGCAAATATGGAGAAGTGAGAAAACAGATGAATATTCGCAACTGAGCCATATTGTTGTGCGCCGGTTCTGCATTTTGGCTAGCACACACTTTGTGAGAATACAAGGCATTCGGATGAGACATGAATTACGGCAGTGGCTGTCGGGGTGGCTCGGGCCATGTTAAGCCGCCTACAACTGGTCTCAATGATTCTATTAAGCAGTAAAAGTCTTTGTCGAGGTTTCGACTGGAGTTCAGTAGCAGTGGGCACATGATGTTTTTCTGAAGGCGCATCGAGTTTCAGGAGTCCTTTCTCTTTAGGAATAGATACATGAAAATGGTTCATTTCCATCCCTCGCTGGTTATTCGGGATCAGGCAAATAGGCGAGGTCTGATTTCCAGTGGCAAATGCGAAGTGCCAATGTGCAGATGATGATTATTGATCATGGATACAGGGTGGGTTTTGCCACTTTATTTGGCCTCCCCCATATTTTATTCATTTACAGGGATAGCTTTACACAATTAGAGGGGAACTCATTCCAGTAATTCAGCTTCCCCTTCCAGCTTCCTGGTGCGAAAGAGCGTGGCAGGGAAGACTGTACTTGTAGAGATGTGAGTGAGCAGCTGCAGGGAAAGTCTGAAGATTCCCCTGAAGCAGCAGAATAATAATAATAAAAAAAAAAATCACCAAACAGAGCTTGCCAGCATTTTTCTGCCTGTTCCAGCTGTCCGTTTGGCAATGGAACCGTCCCACCAGGGCAGCCCCACGGGTAGGAAGATGAGAAGAGCTCTGCGGTGTGAGACGAGCCAGCCCAGGGGTGTTGAATTCTGACAGCAGCCAAAAATAGATGTTCAGAGAAAGAGCATCAGAAACTGGATGAGTGTATTATGATCTTTCCCTGTTAAAATTCTTTCCAGCTCTGGCAAAGAAAATCACAGCTGTCTGAGAGAGCTCCCTCTTTCTAGTGTTGTAGGCCGTTGGGCACAAGAAAAAAAAAAAGAACATCTTGTTTTTGAGGAACACTTGTGGATGAGAACCTAGGTCCAGGAGGGGGTCACAGCCGATGACTGCTCCTCAGAGATGAGTGCACCTCTTTATCCGGGTGGAAGATGCTTTTATTCCTAATGGGAGCAGGTCCAAAGTGAGCTCTTACTTCCCTTCAGGTCTCCAGAAGTTTGAACAAACCTTTGGCACAGCCCTCATCCAGCCCTGACACCTCATCAAAAATGTGCCACGCAACAAACCCGGTCACTAAGCCCAAATTTTTGTAGTTCAAACAGCTGAAGTTAAAAAAAAAAACCAAACAAAAAAACCCACAAAAACCTAAGAAACCAAACATATTTGCTGAATCCAGTGCCATTCCCTCCTTGAGGTGTCCAGGCAGATGGGAAAGAGATGAATACCTGGTCCGAGGGGAAATCCCCTGGACTATCCATTCCACCACTGCCTTCCCACCCCACCAGCCCTTGGGACGTCCTTTCACCAAATATAGGGATTTATCCTCCTCGTTCCAAACAGAGACATCAGTCGCCCTCTAGAAACGCCGATTACTCTGAGCTGAACGCAGAGGAAGCGCCGTCTCCCTTGTGGTCTGGAAATGGCTATTTTCCACTGTTAACTACACAGGAATTTAGTAGCTTAGACCTAAATAACGAACTTTTGGACATCTGAGGAGGATTTCACCCTATGGGATGTATCAGTTTCTGCATCTCCTGATGTCTTCAGACCAAAATTGGAGTCTTAGGGTGTTTTACCCTCACAGAAGTCATTTGGCTTAAAATGGGACTAACGGGATAAAAGTCCAACTTCAGACAATCCCTTAAAAATCACACAAATCCTTTCAAATATTTGGTCTCTTAAGATTTGAAGACTAACATATGGTTCACCGAGTCTTGAACAAGCAATTTAAAAAACTTTTACCAAAACTACAATTGTTAATGATTTAAAATTATCCTTGGGCTTGTGCTTACAAGAAGTAATTGCAATGTTACCTCTGGGACCACTTCCCTTTGGCATTTGAAATTGGTTACGGTGTCTCAAAAGGGAAATTTTGAAACGTGATTTCAATTCTTCCACTAATTTGCTCTCACATTGAATGGGCAAAGTCTTTGTAAAGGAGGAAGCCACGCTGTATTTATTTCTTACCTACATATATCTCACATTTCTGGAGACTGGGCAAGGGGTGCCTGCGATTCTCTTTTGTGTATTCTGCTATCAGTATTCCTGTTATTGGATGAGTTTCAACCTTCTGGCAGATTGGACGTTTGCAGGTACAGAAAAAAAACATTCTTTAATTTTACAGATCTTGAACAGAGATATGTCAGGATGAGTTCCAGGTATTTTAGTTTATATGAGGATTTATATAGGTCCAAGGCATGCTTGCCACTGCTGGTAGGTGTGCCATGATAAGGGTTTCCCTAAGAAACCTCTTTTAACCTTGAGCATAGCACTTACCTCATTTTTGTCTTTTTCTCATCTCTAAAACATAAATGACTCTCATCCTTCAAATTGCTTTGAAAGATGTAAAGGTCAGAGCTGGTGCCATCTACTAATGTCAGCAATAGGAGGAGATGGTTTTCAGGAGCAAGCGAGTGATCTAGAAGCACAGATCTCAAGTCCCCGGAACTTCTCATGAGCCACTCGGTCTCAGATACTCCCAAGTATTTAGAAAACCAAATCCTATAGAGAATCCCACCCGAGTTATTTATACTGTCATCATGGTTTAACCCCAGGCAGCAACTAAGCCTCACTGCCCCCTCTCCCCCCGCTCGCTCACTCCCCGCCCCAGTGGGACAAGGGAGAGAATGAGAAGAGTAAAAGTGAGAAAACTCATGGGTTGAGATAAAGACCGTTCAATGGGTAAAGCAAAAGCTGCACACACAAGCAAAGCAAAACAGGGAATTCATTCCCTCCTTCCCACGGGCAGGGGGGTGCTCAGCCATCCCCAGGACAGCCGGGCTCCATCACCTGTAATGGTGACTTGGGCAGACAAACGCCATCACTCCCAACGTCCCCCCCTTCCTCCTCCTTCCCCCAGCTCCATACACCAAGCTTGACGTGCGGGATATCCCCGGGGTCAGCTGCGCTGGCCATATCCCCTCCCGGCTCCTTGTGCCCCCCCAGCCGCGCGCTGGTGGGGTGGGAAGCAGAAGAGGCCTCGGCTCTGTGTCAGCCTTGCTCAGCAATAACTGAAACATCCCTGGGTTACCAGCGCCGTTCCCAGCACAAACCCAAAGCACAGCCCCATACCAGCTACCGTGAAGAAAATGAACTCTACCCCGGCCAAACCCAGCACAGCTACAGTAGAGTACATTTCCCTTCTCGCTCCCTCAGGCTCACAGCTTTCAGATCCTGAAGGATGTTTTTTAATGTGGTATGATAGTCATCAAAAACATTACCACAACTGGTTTATGCAAGGCAAAATTGAATTGCCCTTTGCTTATGCAGCGTAATTACATAAATTATAAATGCCTGAACAGAATCAGAAGTTGAATGTAGCTGTTTATGTTGGCACGGGGTTTATAAATGATTGTGCATAGACGTGCTGAAATGAGAGAAAGACATCTCGCAAGTTCTACACCCATCTAGAGAAAGATGCTGAATTTCATATTATTCAGGTTCTTATAGTTGCCGTCACAGCTGATAGAGTCCACCTAGTCTAGAGAGTTCATGCCTTGAATAAGAACTGGATTAATCCCATGAAACATCATGGCTCAGGCCCATCTCACCGAAATTCAGGTGCATACATATGAGCTGATTGCCGCATTTGCAGAGGTGCCGGTGGAAAGCCAGTTGATGCAGTCGATACAAGTCTTCGGCAGCTTTTTTGTCATACGTGCTGCTCCCATACAGACATCTTGGATACCATAGAGTGCCTAAAATGGCAAGAGGCGCGGGTGCTTCGGCACCTTAATCCTTCCTTTCAAGTCAGGAGGGATGCACCTGCCTTCGCTAGCTAGGAAATAGGTGCTGAGCAGTCTTGGGCTCCCTGGGCCGCAGCGGAGACAGAGTCCTCCGATGGGATTGACTGGGGTCAATGGCTCAGCCATCTCAGCACCTACCTGAGACAGTAAGCTTGGGATGAGGCAAGATGCCCCCTTGGATTGAGCTTTTTAGGATTATTTCTTAAAATACCCCCCTTCCAGAACAGTTTTGGAACAATGCTTCGTTTTGCAATACTTTCCCTTGACAGCACAATTGCTAATTCAGGTAGTGAGAGTCTGCTTGGTCTTAAAAACACTAGATAGGATTCAGTTTCAGATTAAGGCATCAGATTTAGGCATCCATGTATAAACATTTATCTGTAAGCTATACATCCAAATTTCTCTCATGAGCAAGGAATAAACCAGGTGTCAAGGATCAGCCCAGAAGACTGCTCAGGTTCTCAGGAACAGCTGAGAAGCTGAGATAGCTAAAGTTATCACCGAGTAGCCGGTCATGCGAATCGCCCTTTAGAGTCCACAGGGTGACTGTATCAAGCAGGCATCCGAATAATTTGTTCAGCTGTAGCGGTTTGGTACCACTTGAGACATCCTGGTGTGACCTGTCATTTGTCCAATTTTCATTCCAGAGCAGCACAAGCCCTCCAACAGCCCCGCATCAAATGTGACGGCCGCCTTCAGAGGTCTCAGATACCCTACAGCCTATCAAGTGACGTTTATTAGTGTCTTCCACAGCATTATTAATGGAGGCGTTCCGGTACTCTCCTTTTACTGCACGAAGACTCAGGATCCACCACAACCATATACTACTCTCAAACTTTCTTGTCGTAGTAAAGCCTTAAAACATCTTAGAAATACTGTGTAAAAACAGAACATAAAGAGCAGGAGCCATAGCGATGAGAGTGCCGCAAGATCCTAGCTATACGTTACGGTGGTTGGATTTATTTAATTTGTTAGGTGTGGTCTGTCTGCTGAATTTTGGCTTTATGGCAGGAAAAGGATACAGGTCTATGGATCTGTGTCATACTGAGAGCATCTGAAGGGCTGTTTCACTCCAGAAGCCTGTTTTGTGTTTCTTCCCATGTGAGGAAAGGAGATAGAGAGCTGGGATTTTAGCACATAAGCTTTTGATCTAACACTGAATTTTGATTTTCCAAAGAGGATAGTTACTCTGTTGGGCTCACCTAGAGTACTGCGTCCGGCTCTGGAGCCCTCAGCACAAGAAGGACATGGAAGTGTTGGAGCGGGTCTAGAGGAGGGCCACAAAAATGATCCGAGGGCTGGAGCACCTCTCCTATGAGGACAGGCTGAGAGAGTTGGGCTTGTTCAGCCTGGAGAAGAGAAGGCTGCAGGGAGACCTGATTACGGCCTTTCAGTACCTAAAGGGGGCCTATAGGAAAGATGGGGAAAATCTTTTTAGTAGGGCCAGCAGTGACAAGACAAGGGGTAATGGTTTTAAACTAAACCAGGGTAGGTTTAGACTAGATATAAGGAAGAAATTCTTTACAATGAGGGTGGTGAAACACTGGAGCAGGTTGCCCAGAGAGGGGGTGGAGGCCCCGTCCCTGGAAGCATTCCAGGCCAGGTTGGATGGGGCTCTGAGCAACCTAATCTGGTTCAAGGTGTCCCTGCTCCTGCAGGGGGGTTGGACTAGATGACCTCTAGGGGTCCCTTCCAACCCAAAACATTCTATGATTCTATGATTAAAACGTGTCTAAATTAGGCATTCTGCTGTTAAATCTGTGTCATTAGGCTGCAACCAACATGAACAGGGGCTCAGCTAAATGTGCCATGAGAAAACTCTCAACGTTTTCTCATTTCTCTGGTCACTGTAACATGAAGTGGATGGTACATTGTGCCTGGTACATTATTTTCCACAGCAGATTCTCTCCCCTTCAGAGGGAAATGTAAGCTCATTACACTTCTCTTGCAACAGATTTGGGCTGACTTTGTTACTATTTCTTATCTTGACAGTTAAACCACTGGAATAATAATGGCCAGGGACAACCAAAGCATAGTGACAGAATTCATCTTTGAAGGCCTTTCCTCCCAGCCAAGGACCCAGACCATTCTTTTCATAGTGTTCCTAGTTTTTTATCTGTTCACAGTTGCTGGGAACATCATGATCATCACAGTGATCAGAGCTGATTGCCAGTTGCAGTCACCCATGTACTTTTTCCTTGCCAACCTGTCCTTCCTAGATATCGGCTACATCTCCAGCAACATCCCCCAGATGCTGGTGAACCTCTGGACCAAGAAGAGGACCATCTCCTTCTCTGGATGTGCTGCTCAGATGTATTTCTCTCTGGCTTTTGGCATGACAGAGTGTGTTCTGCTTGGGGTCATGGCCTATGATCGATACATGGCAATATGTCACCCCTTGCTCTACACCACTGTCATGAACAAGAAGTTCTGCATTCACATGGTCGTGGCTTCCTGGACCATCAGCCTGCTGAGCTCCATGGTCATCAACAGCCTCACGTTGCGGCTGCCCTTCTGTGGGCCTGACATCTTGAACCATTACTTCTGTGAAGTGCCAGCCATGCTGGCTTTGGCCTACACTGACACTACCCTCGTGGTGTTGGTCATCTTCATCTTCAGCATCCTCATAGCCTTCATCCCTTTTCTTCTGATCATCACCTCCTACATCCATATCCTTTTCGCCATCTTGAAGATTCAGTCTGCACACGTGCAATCCAAGGCCTTCTCCACCTGTGGATCCCACCTAATGGTGGTAAGCTTATTCTATGGGACGGCCATCTGCAGGTACATGAATCCTAAGTCAAGGCCTCCACAGGACAGGGACAAAGTGGTTGCTGTGTTTTACACCGTTGTAGCCCCAGTGATGAACCCCCTCATCTACAGCCTCAGGAACAAGGACATGAAGCATGCCCTGGGGAGGGCAATGAATAGACCCAAATCCTTGTTTATTTAAAGGCTTCTCAGGGATCAGTAGTATTGCATTTAGGTCTGTAGGTTGAAACAATACTCAAATGTGACTATTTCTCTACCTGAAATTGTCCTAGACTTAGGATTTAGGCTACCAGAGTTAGGCAGGGTGAACTTCAGCTTTTACAGATGCAAGTACGCCTGTAAGCCTACAGGTATGCAAACACCCCCTCCCCATCCAGCACGACTGAGATTTAACACACCCGAAAATAACGCTTGTCCCAGATACACACATCTGTAGTTATAATGTTGTGGTGTACATTCTTTTTTTAATGTTTGCCAACACAAACCAACCAACCTTAAGTGGCAGGCTTTGCACTGACATGGTTTCCTCCGCAGAAGGTGGAGTCCCAGCGGAAAGTAAAGGAAATTTTTTTGAGCAAGATGGGTATTTCTTGTCCCTGCCTCGGGAAGATCACAGCCGTGACTAGGAAAGTGTTTTGAGGGAAGTTGGTGCATCCTGACCCTGCCTGGAGGTTGAAGTGTGGAAATGCAATTAGTGAACAAATGTCACTCATTAGCCAGCATCCCACACACCAGAAGTGTGCTTACACCCGTCCTGCACAGGGAACCAAGGGAGAGTTTCAGCCCTGGCTCTTTACGCTGCTATCAAGCACCAACATCTAGAGGTGGCACTCATGGGTCTGAGCCCAGAAACCCAGCCCAGAGAGACGGGGCTGGGCTCTCCTGTGGCTCAGAGTGGGGCACACAGCCCCAGCCGCAGCTCTTGCCTTCCTAGGAAGGGCAGGGAAAGGAGAAAGCTTATTGAGCACTGTGTCTTCAACTACTCCCTTACTCTTATGCCATGTAAGATACAAAACGTATGAGGACAAACTCCTTGCTTGGGTTCTTGGGCAGAACGCTGGGGGAAGGTCACATGCCAGATGTCTGTCCCTGCTGCTTTATGCCACACCTTTGAGGGTGGCCAGGGGCAAGATTTGGGTCTGACATCTGGCACAGGTCCTTGCTGGGGTAGGACGTATTGCCACTTTGAGGAACGACTCATTCTCCACCGCCCCAGCGGAGACGTGCTACGCTGGCAGATAT